AAAGTATAACTTCATCAAGGTTAAATACAAACGTAAGACGAGGCACACGGAACCAGGAAAAGGTTTTGTGGAACAGATTTTAACACCAAGACGAATCCCAATACATCGCCGTTGGTTCCAGCTGCCAACTGCTTTGATTTTTACGCTACGTTGAAATACACAAATTCAAATTTTTATTATGGGATATAACTTACAAGGACTTCGCTTTTACAAATCCCATAGGGTGTTTACACATTGGTCACTCTGGAACGTATTACGTGCCGAAGAGATATCGGAGAAGTGCATAACGATCAAATGTTCTTGTCCTGATAGGATCATCAGTCAGAGTTTGTTTCGTGGTTGGGTGCTATCAGTAGGCCACCCACCTACATATAAGCCTCCCACTGATTGACTCGTCATGTGATCCAGCTCATATCCACGGTAAGACGGCTTGATAATCATGTGACTACGCTTAACCACCCTGACGACACACGAATCGCAATTGTCACCTTACCGCTCTGACCAATCCAATCATTCCGGAAACTAACCAATCAGTGAACTCGACCTAGTGACACTTGTTCATCAGATTTGGAGGACTAGGATCCAAAACAGACGATTCCGAACTGGTCTGTTACACACGAACGCTGTGGATTATAATACGTTCATTACTAACGGCAGAGCTTACAGCGCCCATTGCAATACAATGCGAATAAGGCACTGGCGGACAGTCGACGGAACTTCCACTAGTTTCCGATATTTTCAAAAGCTGTCGCCAATCCTATTCAACCCAACCATAGGGTAATGAATGGGTCACGCTCTTGCCAATTTTCAAGAAATTCAAATCACTCACACATACATATATATATATATAATAAAATAATAGCAATATATAACCCTTATGGCTGCGTCAACGATATGCGCACAAATGCAATAAAGTTCGGCCGATGCTGAACGGAACGCGTCACCTAATTCAGTCATAAAAACGGAACTTGCGCAGATGTGATCTAATCGTCCGTCTAAGACAGTGTTAACACATCTGCTTCCGAAACTTGTCGCGTTCTTCTTGAACGGTTCCCTTCGCACCAATCACGGAACTCTCATCCGTCGCCTCACAAAGTCGCTGGCAGATGCGATAAGTTTCTTCGGGAACAAGATGAGTCACCGCTTCATCCGCTCATGCGAAGAATTTCCGTGGACTGCGCGAAACAGATAATATACTGGATTCAATGACTAGAACATTGCTCCAAACTCTAACGCATGATTGCATAAAACCATATTCCCTTGGTGGTCGAATTTGTTGGTGTACAGACAGGAGATGCAGCCTCGAATAAAAATCCCATTGGCCTTAACGTTTTCCCCGCATCAAGTTCTCATTAAACATTATGAACAATGAAAAAAAATTTCAGCCGTTTTAGGAAATGGGCTTCGGATCGCTGTCCTTGGACAACAGCGGTTCAAAATGTTCGCGAGGCCGATTTATACGCTCGTAGGAGATAGTTACGATTAGGTAAGTTTCCAGCTACGAATGTCATTGATCACCCCGTGCGTCACCTCCGTTTGACGAGTATATAATCCGTCTCACACAAACTATATATGACCAATATCTTTACATACAATTACGAACAGCCCAGGCGGCGTAAAAACCCACATCCGAGTGACCAAATAGGATTTAAAATCTCCAGTCTTATTCTAAAACAATTTCTAAAAATCCACGTCAACAGGAAATGCATATTTTCATATGAGGTGGATTTGGTTTGTTTACATGATGAATTCCTCATGTTAATGAGACGTGAGTTAAAACGTTGGGAAGCACTGGACAGCTGTTACAACCTGATGGGGTCTCACCAGCAATGCGAATCCATTGACCTAAATGAGGATCGAACCTCGGACCTCACAGGTAGAACGCAAGCATACTACCCACTCGGAAAGTTGATCAGACCGTTTCTCATTCTGACTATACACGATATAGCACAATCCATCTATGCAAGCTAGTTATGAGTATCGGTCCCCGCTCATCTGAGCACTAGCCTCCAGGTATATGACTCGATCGGAAAATTTTCACAACCAGATGAGACCCAAACAGGTCAAAACACCTGCCCAATGCTTCCCAGCTCACGACGAATTCATCATGTCAATGTATATTTATTCACCATTTCGATCTGTGCTGTACAGTGATTGTGGCCAGTGTCTCATTTTCCGAATGTACAAACCGTTTCTGTGACTTCAGGAAACGGGATTTTCTTGGGAATAGATGACGAACGCGGGAATGAGAGCTGACCGAGCTTCAGGTCGTGGGAGAACTGAAATAGGCGAATGAGTTTTATTTCCACCGCGTGACTATGCTGGGCGTGCAACCATATCCCATTAAGTCTAGTCTCAAAGAAACCATTTCCTGATTTTAACCAACGCTTGTGATGTGGGGCAATAGTTAGTTTCTTTTGATGCTAAATCTTTGGGTATCATCATGAAGAAATCAGCAAATGAGGCCTAGTCTAATGACTAAAAAGGTGTTAGTAAACAGCCATTCCGTAGAGCAAATTACAGCCAGAATCTAGACCTTGTGTCATATAAGTTGGTCAACATCACGGATGTTCATTTTACCGGGTCACGATCAGTGATGAATAGTGCGAATTTCGAGCCAGAAAGTAGGAAAAAGTAATGACTGTGCAAAGCACTTTCCAGATTAAAGTGTACTCAGCAATCCACTGACGATATCGATTGCTCACTGGGGGACGGGGGGATGAAATATGGTGAGGTCAGAGAGCGAGACAGATGGAAAGGAACGTCTTCAAGAAAAATTGGTGAAACAATGGAGCGAGGTACAAAGATGAACAATCAGTTAGGGAGAGCCGGAGGGCGGGGCACGGAGAACATTGTATGCTCGGGACGGTAGCAACAATGGCAAATTGAAGAACAGACAAGGAAAGAGAGAAGGCGAAAGATGGATGGATTCATCAAAACACTGAACAAACAACCGGTATTGTATGAGAAACAGGTACAGTACAAAGGAAACCAATCACAAATTCGCTCTTTCGTTGCAACACACACACACACAAACCTCGGTGATAAGATTGTTCATACGAGGAGTGATTGTGCGGGGGTGTTTGGCTTTGGGCGGCCAACACCAAACAGGACGGTTCGATGAGAGCAGATCGATATAAGACGCACAAAGACGAAACTGGTGGAATGTTCCGGCCATTTGTACCCACATGCAAACTGAGATAGGCATTGAATTCGGATGCACTCATCATGGTCAACGATCTACGGAGATACGAAGATTACGTGGCCCGGAGAAATGTGGCATGACAGGCTAAAGAAAATATGCCCTTTGGATAATTACAACAATGGACAAATGTAGCAGTGCAACAG